TCCAAAAGTCAGACACAATCAAATTTCACATGGACTAGAAACTACAAAAGTTTTTTTTTTTCCTCCTCTAAACATAATACATATTAATAGTAATAAAAATATATTCTCAGATCATCACATAATGACCATCTATCCTAACATTTATGAAATAAATATCATAACTTATAAAGGATAGAAAAATAATAATCAAGAAAAATAAAGATAAAATCTGATTTTTACCCCCATTGATTAATCATATTCTATTTGTCAGTAATGATTCCATGCAAGTCACTTTTCTTGCTAATTTTTTTTCTTCTTTCCCAGTTTCAATCATATTCCAATATCCCTCAGAAGACATTGAATTTCAACGAGAAACTAAACTCATGTTCAAATATTGTTAGGAGACAACATATATTCACTTACTTCTTCTCATAGTTATATAAAATCAAGAATATAGAAAAAAAATTAAAGTGCATATCTTAACATTTATGCACAAAATAACTTTTTTTATTGAAAAGAAAACTGAAGGGGTGCAATGTTTCAATGCACTTGGGAAGAAAATAAAAATAATTTTACCCATCCAAGGAAAACTTACTACATAAAATATACTCAAACATATTAAAGTAGTACTAATTCATCCCAAATCTCTTTTATCATATGATAAAATAATTCTCTTTCTCTTCTTTTTTTTCCAACAAAAAGAACACAGAAAATAAAAGTAATTTCCTTACCACAGAAAATACCATCAATAATAAATTTCTTAAGCTTGTTATCTCCTGTATTTATATCAGAAAATCAGAAATAATAAAAGATGAAAAGAAAAAAACAAAGAACTATCCGAGTCCATAGAATCCACTGTGTGTCCTTACGAAATTTAATCCCCTCAAGTATTCGAGGTTGTAGATTAAATTCTCCCAAGATAAAATGGATTAACCATTAAAGAAGTAGTGGTACCTCAAACTTCGATAATTTCAACGAACTCAAAATGACAGCAACGAATCACACAGAGAGACACGATCGATCGATTTTGTTTAGTAAGAAATGTATGCAAAAGAAGGGAAAAATTGATGTAGAAAAATGAGAGAAGGCATCTCTATTTATAGCCAACAAAGGGTAAAGGTCACAACTCTTTGGAAAAAAAGACAACCTTTCAGAAAGGTCACAACACTTTGAAAAAGGCACAACCTTTCAAATGGTCACAACCCTTTAGAAATGACACAACCTTTCATAAAGGTCACAACCCTTCGAAATAGTCATAACCCTTTAGGAGAGTCACAACCTTTTATTTCCTACTCACACCTTTAAAACCCAACACATATATTGTTCAGGATGTTTCTTTCTTTCCCAATGTTGAATCTTATATATTTAATTGAATTTCAGTTATCACTTTGTGTCACGCCCCGAGCCTATACCCTGGACGTGGCCGGCACTTGAAGACCATTGTTGGCCCCAAGCGAACCCTTGGCCTGGCTTCTTAACTCAGTGGAAACCTAACTCAACTGAATAACTCCATGCAATGCAAAGACATAAAACAACTTAACTGATAAAATCTGGCCAAAGAGGCAACTCGAGTCTCAAAATAGAATATTTACATAAATACATAGATGAGAGACTCAATACTAACTGACTGACTGTCTATGAAGCCTCTATAATACTAGATGGATGTTGGGACAGACCCTGCAACATCCTAACAAAACAAAACTAGAAACACAAAATAACAGAGTCCTCCAGAATGCAAGGAGGCTCACCACTGACTCTGAAATGCTCAATTGGATCAACGGCGTGCCGGGTGCTGATCCTGGGTACCTGCGTTTGCATCGTCATAAGATGCAGGGCAACTGGCATCAGTACATTGAATGTACGAGTATGCGAGCTGGAAAGCTAAGCAACATAGGCTAGAATGAAATCTTAAAGAAACTGAATAACTTACCTGGCTCAACTCAACTCAACCTGACTGACTCATTTCAATATAATGCAATTTAAAACAAGTGCAATATAAAGAAAAGCTGTTTAAAACCTGCTATAAACTCTGTGTGTATACAAAGATACACTAAGCCTGAGATGTATATAGAAATACAACTGAACTGATGTATATAAAAATACAATAACTGCTATGTATGAAAATACAATAACTGTTGTGTATGAAAATACAATAACTGCTGTGGGAGTTTCTTTAACCGACAACCATCACATAAAGCTGTAGTGATGATACAACGATCGACCTCACGCTGCCAGAGCATCCTATACTCGGGCAAAGGTATAAGACCTGAATTGCCTAATGGATCCACTAGTCTATCTGAAAAATGATTCATCTAAAAAGTATGATCCTTTTCTACCCATGGTGGCTAACATGGTTCTATGGGGCTGTGGGTTCCTTGAACGCTCCCCCAACTCGGTGCTCGATACTACTCCCAAAAATGTACTGGCTCTTATATTTTTAAAACATATTTCTTCTTGCTGATTTGAGATAATTACTCAAAAACTTAGCTCAAAGGCTATCTTGGAAATCTCAGTTTCCTCTTTTGCTTCATTTAGAAAGCGATAACTCTTTTTCTGAAAAAAACTAGCCCGAAGGCTCTTTGGAGATCTCAGTTCCAAAGCTTGTTTAAATGTAAAAACATTTCTAAACCTCTTTGGGAATACATAGTCTCCATATACTTCTTTGAAGAAAAGAACTTCAAACCTTAGCTTTACTTTTAAAACAACCTCTTTCTTTAGTTTGAGATAATTACTCAATGCTTAGCCCAAAAGCTCTTTGGAAATCGATGTTCCCTTTTCTTGCTCAAATGTGTAAAAACATTTATAAACTCTTAGGGAATACTTAGTTCCCTTATAACTTTTGAGAAATGAACTCAACTTTATACTCTTGACTTAACCTGAAACTCGATACTCTTTGCTTGACTGGAAACTCTATACTCTTGCTTGACTGGAAACTTTATACTCTTGCTTGACTGGAAACTTGAGCCTTAAAATGAAGTTAAAACATTCATTTAAGACTCTTAAAAAAAACTTAGAGACTTGCTTGACTTACTTCTTAACTTCTAAGCTTGGCTCTAACTTCACTTGACTTCTAACTTCACTAGACTTGGAAACTAACTCTCCTTGAATTTGATTATGGATTCAAGGTGTTTGATCACATGTTATGGACGAGTTCTTGACATTTAAACGTACCTTGGGGCGTTGGAAACAACTATGAAACATAGGTACAATACCTAGGAACATGTATGAGAAAGTGGGGAAAGAATGGGAAGACTTGGCGCTCTGAGAGGCGCGGAGCGCCAGACCTCAAAGGTCAGAAGGGTCTGGTTGGGGCTCTGGTAGGGGCGACACCCCAAGGGCTGGACCTCAGAGTCCCTTTTGGGGCGCGCTGGGTGGAGCGACGCCCCAGCCCTTTTCCCCGGAAACTTGACTTTTCTCCTTCATTTTTCCAACTCTAAACCTCCCTTACCTTCAATGGTTTCAACCCCAAACACTAAGGATCATAAAATCCCTCAACATACTAGAGATTCAACTCAAAAACACAACCAAATCATTAACCAAGCCAACAAGAACTTCAATACAACACAACTACAACTTCAACAATTACAACCAACAACTTCAACGAACACAACCCATCTTTTCTCATAAATAAAACGAGCTTGGCGTGTGGGGAAAAGAACCAACCCAACACTATGAACTCACATACCTAATAGGGATCACCCCCGACGATATCCACAAAGATCTTTGACGAAACCTTGCTTGATCTTCTCTTTCTCCTCTTCTTTCTCTCTTCACTCACAACCCTAACTTTCACTCTTTAAAATGATAAAAACTGATCAAAATCAGTCTAACACACTCATATATATATCCAAAAGAAAAGGCTAGGGAAAAGACCAAAATACCCTTACAAATTTCCGGACAGACTTCCCTGCCAACTGCCCAACTTCCAAAGGGCATAACTCACTCATACAAACTCGGAATCGCTCAAACTTTGTGGCGTTGGAAATATCATTCCACAAGATTCGCAAGAATAACTGGAAATACACCTAAATCATCCTGATATAGGAGTTATGACTGCTCAAAGTTGGCCAAAAACTCACTTTTTCCCATACTTAGCCAAATTTCCAGATTTTTAAATTCTTTCCAAAAATGAAAATTTCCAATTCTAAGCCTCTTCAATTATTTCACATTGCCGGATGTTACACTTTGTACTGTTCTTCATGCTTATTTATAAGTGGAATGCCTATCCAACTTGGAGAAGAATTGCTTAACAAGCTAACGCCCCTTGAAGGATCGCTGCCTGAAGAAATCAAGAACTTTATGGATCTTCAGAGTCCATATATGGATATTAAATCAGGTGATATCCATAATACAAGTAAAGTAGTTGAAGGTGAGTTTCTTGATTTGCTGGCACAAGTAGAAAGTAAACAACAATTGGCAACTGGACCAATTCTGCCTACAAAATTTGATTGTATCTCGAATAGGAATGATATATGTTTGGAGTGGCTGAATAAACAACTTCTTACGTATATGTTGCAGAATTGCCCCCCTTAGCTTGACATGATTTTCTTTCCTTCTGTAGATAATTCAATCTTTGTTCATAGATTTCTTTGCGCTGATTTGTGCATTAGAGGTTTTGTGTGCGGTCTACATTCCTTTCTGGCCTAACTTTTTCCTGCAATTTTATTTTTGTCATGCATTCTTGTTTCTCAATTCAGCTTTCTCGAAAAGAAAAGGTAAATGCCATAATGATATGTTCTGATAATATCACAACTAAACGGTAGCAACTTTTCTTCGAACCGCGTCTCTTCCTAAGAAACGGTGGCAACTTTTCTTCCTAAGAAACGGTGGCAACACTTCTTCTAAAACATGTGTCTCTTGCTGAAACGGCGCCTGAGGGACATTTAAGTAATTTAACTTTTAAATTCAGGACATACTTATAAATACAGAGGATTCTTCTTGTTAATGCTGAACTGTCAAAGCATTTTATTGTCTGAGAAACCCTATTCATCTCTCTCTGTTGCCCACCACCAACCCCAAAAATGTTGAGAAATTCGAAGAAGCGAAAGGTGAAATTGAGAAAATCGAAGAAGCAAAAGGTGACAGAGGAAGAAGCACCAATCAATAAGTTGCCAGATGCAGTCCTCGTAAAAATTCTCTCACTTCTGCCAACAGAGGAAGCATTCAGAACTTGTGTTATCTCTAAAAAGTGGCAAACTCTCTCAACTTTAATTTATAGCTTCAATTTCAATTGTTCAGAATACCGGGAAAGAGAAGATTTATCATTTATTCATAATGCATTAGAACATTCCCACTCTTCCAAAATCGAAAAGTTTGAACTCGACTTAACCGAATGCATGGACTTGTGTCAATTAGACTACAATTTGAAGTTTGATTTTGATTTCCTAGTCAATCGTTGTTGTAGATTTGCTGTTAAGAGAAATGTGGAAAATCTTGTATTGGGTTTATATAGTCCTGAAGAGTGCCCATTGCCTGAATCTCTCTACACCTGTTCGTCATTGATAACTTTAGATGTTACGCTATGTTGTGGCTTTATTAATGATGCGGTCATTTAGTGGAACTCTCTAAAGAGCATAACATTGGGGTATGTGGTGTTTACCGATGAGGACATGGTGAAATTACTGTCAGGCTGTCCTTCATTGGAAACAATGGAATTATATAGGTATGACGGTTTCTGTCGCGTGGAAATTAATTCATCAACATTAAAGACACTGAAGCTGATAGATTATGGGATTCCTGGAGTTGGATATGAATTAGATGGGGTTTCTGGAGTTAGAGATGAATTAGAAATTTTTGCCCCGTATCTTCAGAATTTGGAAATATCAGGAGATTTTCTTGATGTCAAGTGTAAACTTGTTGATGTCTCTTCTCTAGTTAATGCTAAGATTAATTACAACAATAAATGTATCAATCACATCTCAAATGTTAATGAAGAACACAACTGCCGTGACTATCATCAAGTATTATATTCCCTCATCCAAGAAAATCTTCAAAAGTTATGTTATGCAACTGAGCTAACAATTGGAAATTGGTTCACACAGGTTTGTCTTTAACTCGAAACTCCTTACTCCTTTTTTGGTTAATCTTAAGCAGATAGTTGTAGAATGTAAACATTATAGAATTAATTACAGAAACTTGTGGCACATTCTCCTGTCTAGTTTTTAAACTAAGGTTCTTTATTCATACCGGAAAAGATATGTCCTGAAACGAGGTTTTAGACAATTAGATTTGTCAAAGTATGTACTATCTGTCTGTTGTGAAATACTTCCCTGTTATTGTTACTGCTTTCTCCGTTATTTACTAATTTCGTTGGAATTATTGCACCAGGTCATGTGCATGTTGCAGTTCAAACGGATTCCCGTTTCAGATTTTTACTGCAAATATCTAACCCTGCAGTTGCATATGAGAGCCTCGCCTCATGTGGAAACACTCAACATAGACATGCAAACTATGGAGGTAACTTCCTAGAACTTATCTCTTCTTTTTACATGTATTCATTTTCTTGAAGTTTTAATACCCCTCCACTTTGCTTCCGAAGAAGAATGCAAACATTTCTTAATTATCAGCAAGAAGCTTTGCTTATGTCACTGTAAAGCTTCACGTTACCATAGTAAGTATTGTTGCTTTCTTTGTGGCAAATGAGTTCTGAAATGAGAAGTATAGTAGCGCTATCACTTTTTTTTAATTAAGCTTGTGCTATCACTTTTGCTTTGATTACTTACGCCATCATAATCATTTCCCAAGTACCATTAACACTTCTATAGAATCATATTTTTTCAGAGTTGTGCAATTTCATTTAAGCTGACTTGCATTTGGTTCTGACTATATTTTGTCTCCAGTTAGATGATATTTGCAACTATGTTGACAATTCACGCTGCAACTCTGAGTTACGTGATTTGGCCAAAGGAGATAATATGGATTTGCAGAATTGTGTTTCAAGCGTTGAGTTTCACAACCTCAAGAACGTTAAGATTGTCATCTCATCGAAGCTATGCTTGAAGTATGTCAAATGGGGCTTTAAGAAGCTATTCAAACTTTCAAAATTTCTGTTAATCAATGCATCCGTTTTGGAGAAGTTCATTATCATATCAAAGAGAAGCAGGTGTGAGACATGTTCAGGGAACTGTCTATCCAAATATTTATTTCTATTGGCTTTCAAATTGTTAGATTGTCCAAGATCATCCTCCAATTCTGTGATTATATTCCAGGAGTGAGTTTTTCATGACTTCATTACTGGTAGTTTCCTGTCTCAGGATACTAGAAACGTCGCCTTATATTAAGTTTGTAACCAATTACTAGTTATACTATTGGATTTACCCTTGTGGCATACCAAATGTTATGGTATATTGGTTTCTTATGAAGCTTTTTTTTTGTTATATTGATGTTGAGATTCTCTTGTGACTCTTATTTTCCTAGATCTATTAAGATGAGCGATTTGCAAGTCACATTCTTTTATGATAATTAGCCGCATGAGATGTTATGCTCTGCAACCTTTTCTTTGTCAGTAGCATCAAGGTCTGTGATTGTGCTATTAAATATTTTTACTTGAAGTCAAAGTCATATGATTAGATCTATCTTTTTCTTCGGGCATATGTTAGTTGGCTGGGACAGCTTACAAAACGTTGTGACGAAATTTTTGGAACAACAGCTCTCTTGATATGTGTTGTGCGAAAAAGTTTTATTTAGAAATGGCAATGTGTGATAATTTTTCCATTTTAGGGATCACATACAAAGTTCAAAAAGGAGGCACTGCAACTTTAATACTAATTCACACAGTTTGGTAGTAAACCTCAGTAGTGGTCATCCATTGAACATATGGAAATTTCATATTGAAGAGGTTTTCATTAAAATAAATGATGTTCTTAATTCATTGATAGGACCATTTCTGTACTGAATACTTCTGCTATAAAAACATTGTTTATTACTATCTTTGTGCAAGACAAGTTCCATAAGTAGCCGTAGGTATGCACTTATTCCTCTGTTTCCAGTTTTATCGGCTCTGCAGCGACTTCATTTATTCCTCTGTTCCAGTTTTATCGACTTTGCAGCGACTTTGAGTATGTATGTTTGGCCAAAGGATATAACTATTGATTTGCAACATTGGATTTCAAGCTTTGTATTTCCTGGCTTCTTTCTATTTTGTTTTTTCCTGGTTTTAAAGAACCTATTTTCGATACCCATTGAGCTAACTAATAAAACAACCTAGCTAGTGCACTAACTCAAACCTATTTCTTGCACGAAATGTCCTCCTAACATAGTAGCACTCCTACTAAGAAATGGAAGAGCAAAGTTCTTTCTGTTTGATGACACAATTGCCTCACCTGCCCTCTGCTACACACCTCTTTCGTTCGCCCTAGACCCACCCACCAAATGGAACTCTGCCCTTTTTGTTGGGATAGAGCGAGTATGAAGTCAGGGAGGAAGAAGAAGAGAGGGAAGAAATAATATATTAATATTTACCTATCCCAGCTCTCAGAAATGGAGAAGGAATAAAAATCTAGTGAAAGAAGAATAAGATAAGCTAACACAAAAAAGTCGATTTGATTGACAATATTTCTCTATAAATATGCAGATTTATGTAGCCGAGTCACGAGGGCTTCTTCTACTCCCTTCCCGGAAGATAAAGGGAACTTAGCCTCTGACAAAGAGACAAAGTAGTAGCTGACATACGAATAGCTGGCAAAGGAAGAGCTTCCGCTAAGATTCTGACTTATTTGGAAACTAGATTTGCTGCCCCTAATCCAGGCTGTTAGGGCAAACTAAAGTAGATATGACACCAGATAGCGCTTGTAGCACCCTTTTCTTAAACATATACACTCTTCAAAATTTATTTAACGATTAGCCAATTTGGTACTGAACCACCTTCACCTCCTCCTGCTTCATTAGCCAGTTCAATCCTCTATGCACACATTCACTGCTTATGCCGAAAAAACAATCATGGATTCCGGCGAGAATATAAAAGAAACAACAGCTGTAGACCAACAACAAACCATGGATTCCGGTGAATAGATAGAAGAAACAATAACGGTAGACTGATCAGTTAGTTGCATGAAGCTCTTTTTCTTCACATTCTCTCTCTTATGTCAACATGATCAAATATCCATAACAAGTGCTCTCTCAAACATGTAGCGTTATCTTTGAAATGCTCTTGATACCTTCTCTTTTAGTACTGATTATGGCTTAGGTAATACTTTTTCTTCAATCAGTTTTTCCTTCTCAAAAAATAAAAAATAAATATCTGTTTCTCCCCTAAATTAAAAAATTTCAACTTGACAACGTTGGTCAAGGGACAATGTGAAACTCAGGTCAGTTTCTAAAGAAGAATGTTTATACACATTCATTTGATAATACTAATTTTGAGATTTTGATGTTATGTGGCTATAACGTGAAAGTCTCCGAATAGTATAAAATTGAAGTGGATGATGTTATCTAAGGACCATATTATGAATTTATTGTTGGGCTGTTCATCATTAGAAACTATGGAATAATCACATTTTAAGGATTTTAGTCGCTTTTAAATTACGTCTTCGAAATTGAAGAGGAATTTGATATCATACAATGATGATGAAGAAATTGTTCATTCAGTGGAAATTATTGCCTGCTATCTTCATCATTTGGAGATTTGAGGAAGTCATCATGTTCTCAAGTATAGGCTTGTAGACATGCCATCTGTGGTTGATGCTAAGCTTACGTTCAACATTATATGTATCAAAGACAAAGGTGAATGGAGTGTCTACCAACAAATATTGGATGTGTTTGATACATATAATGTTGAACGTAAGCTTAGTTTTAATCATAGAGGACACGTCTCCAAGCCTACACTTGACACTAAGAAGACTTGTGATCAATTTTTAATCATCATTATATGATATCAAATTCAATCTTTTCAATTTTGAAGACCTAATTTCCGAAGTGACTAAAACCCTTAAAGCATGATAATTCCATAGCTTCTGATGCAGGAAAGCCCAAAAATAAGTTCATACCCTTAAAACATGATAATTCCATAGCTTCTAATGCAGGAAAGCCCAATAATAAGTTCATAATATGATCATTGGATAACACTATCCACTTCAATTTTATGCTCTTTATAGACTTCCATGCTATGACCACATTAGCATCAAAATAACAAAATCCTAAAACTAGTGTCATCATCGATGAACAGGTGTATAAATATTCAGGCAATGCACAAACCTCTTCTTCAAAAACTAACCGGAGTTGCATATTTTCAGCTTGTATGCATCCGGCTTAAGGCTGTCGTGAGTTGGAATTTTATTTTTTTGGAGAAATGAAATGACCTAATACATAGGATATGTATCTTTCATGGTAACTAGAGGTACTAAAAGAGAATGTATCAAGTAAATTCCAGTGATAACACCACCTTTTTGAGAGACCACTTGTTCTGAGTGTCTGAGCAGTCGGCATAAGAGAGAAAATGTGAATGAGAAGAGCTTCCGACAATTGACTGATTCGGTCTACAACTATTGTTTCTTCTATCTTTTCACCAGAATTCATAGTTGGTTACACTTTGATGGTATATGCTAATCAATTAGCACAGCAAATCTAATATATGCTTTAATAAATGGCAAAATCAGAAGTGTTGTTTGTGGTTTTGTTTAGAAATGGCAACTTAATAATATACATCATTTTTACCGAACTCTAATATATCCATATTTAGGTGTACCATTTCATGAGTAAATATTTCAATAACATGTGCCGTTTCATGAGTAGTAGTCCAAACAAAAATGGAGTCGTGCTACGGATATCTAAGACAGGGAAACTTTAGTACAAATTCAGATAGTACTGAGCAGTTTTCTCTCAAAAGGGAGAAATGTACAACATCTAGATCATAAAATTCGTTATCTTTTCAGATTTGACGGAATGCTGTAAAATGTTTGTACAGACCAGTTGATGATGTGTTTTTTCCATTGCATTCTTCTTTCTCAATTCACCTTTCCTGGAAAGAAATATAATGTTAAATGTCATAATGACTGATGAATTCAGAGCTTTTTGGCATCAATATAATCACAAGACTTTAATGCTATTGAGAAAGCAGGGTAGGGTAGCAAAACACAACATTTCAAGAAAATATCAATAGCATAACATTTGGTACGCAATAAGGGTACAGTTCATTGAACAACTCTCGCACTTTCTTGTCTTTGATATGATAATGAACTTCTACAAAACAGTTGCACTCTGAAATTTTGAGAAGTTTGTCATAACCATGTTTGAAATGATCCTTCAAACACACCAAGAAGAGTCGACAATCTTAACATTCCCGAGGTCGGGTACCCTTTGTGCCAAATAATTTGACTCAAATTGGCACCAGGAACAAATTGGAGACAGAATATTATCAGGACCAACTGCAGATTAGCCTAATGGAAATTGATTTCAAAGTAGAAGTGCCTGGCACACAAACACTTCAGAACCAACAAATCTGAAAGTATCCATGTCTATGTTAAGTGTCTCCGCTCTGCTCTGAACAAATTAAACTTTTTCGTATGCAACTCCTCTCATATCTAAATTAGGACAATCCAAAACACAAGTAATCAATGCATGAATTAACTATTACTAACTAATCTCTTTAAAAAGTAAAATCCTCACTCCACTCATGCTTTCAATGTTGAGCAATGAACTCTTCTGTCTCGAGAAGATTACGACTTTTCAAAAAAATGGTGGCAACTCTTCTTCTAAAAATGCGTCTTTTGCTGAAGCAGCGCCTGTTTTTATAAGAGGGACATTTAAGTAATTTAACTTTTAAATTTATATTCTGAAGATCTTTGACTTTTAAATTTAAATTCTGAAGATCTTTGACTTTTAAATTTAAATTCTGAAGATCTTTGACTTTTAAGATAGTATATATATGTGTGGTAGGTAATATTGATCTGTCAAAGCATTTTATTGCTGAGATAAACACAAACAAACCAATCAATCAATCTCCCCTCTTTTGCCGAAGGAGATGACAAATCTGAAGAAGCAAAAGGTAACAGAGGAAGAAGCACCACAAGGAATCAGTAAGTTGCCGGATCAACTCCTCCTTCAAATTCTCTCACTTCTCCCAACAAAGGATGCATTCAGAACTTGTCTAGTTTCTCCAACGTGGCGGCGTCTCCCAACTTTAATTGATAGCTTCAATTTCACTTGTTCAACTGACCGGGAAAGAGAAGATTTCTCCTTTATTCAAAATGCATTAGCACATTCCCTCTCTTCCAAAATT